AGAGACGGGGTTTCACCATGTTGACCAGGATGGTCTCGATCTCTTGACCTCGTGATCCACCCGCCTCGGCCTCCCAAAGTGCTGGGATTACAGGCTTGAGCCACCGCGCCCGGCCATGATTTTTATTTTTGAGATGGAGTCTCGCTCCGTGGCCCAGGCTGGAATGCAGTGGTGTGATCTCAGCTCACTGCAACCTCCTTCTCCTGGGTTCAAGCAATTGTCCTGCCTCAGCCTCCTGAGTAGCTGGGGTTACAGGCGTGTGCCACCGCACCTGGCTAATTTTTTATATTTTTAGTAGAGACAGGGTTTCACTGTGTTAGCCAGGATGGTCTTGGTCTCCTGACTTTGTGATCCGCCCACCTTGGCCTCCCACCTCAGCCTCCTGGGGTTCAAATCCAGTCTGGGGAACATATCAAGACCCCATCTCTAAATATGTATGTATATATTTGGTGCTCTCTTTTCTACAATGTCTGATTCAGGAAGTACAAATTACCATGAGAGGCTTACATCTATATATTTTTACAGAGGACGGACAGGTGGAAGATGCAGATAACCATGAGCTGGGAGACTCAGATGAGGACTTGGAGTTAGCAAAGCCAGGTGGGTAAATTCGGTCTTGTGGTCGTGAGTTTGGTGTTCGAGAGCGTGCAAGGCGCGTTACTTCTTGCTGGTTTTCTTCATCTCTGGTGCTTTACCAGTAATTTTCAGATGAGTATCATCACCAACCTCACCTGTCCTATGGCCTGTCACTGCAGGTGAGAAGGAAGGATGGAGAAACGTGATGGACGAACAGTCTTTGGTCCAGAGGAACAGCTTTTGGCGAGGAGACAGTGACAATTTCCACGACCACGTCACTCAGAGAAACCAAAGGTTCATTCCATTCTTGAATCCCAGAAGACCCACGCAGCCATCCCCTTACACGGTGGTTCTGCACGGTCCTGCGGGCGTGGGGAAAACCACGCTGGCCAAAAAGTGTATGCTGGACTGGAAAGACAACAACCTCGGCCCCAAGGCCAGGTACGCGTTCTACCTCAGCTGCAAGGAGCTCAGCCGCCTGGGCCCGTGCAGTTTTGCAGAGCTGATAGCCAAAGACCAGCCAGAATTACAGGATGATATTCCAAACATCCTAGCCCAAGCACAGAGAATCCTGTTCGTGGTCGACGGCCTTGATGAGCTGAGAGTACCCCCCGGGGCGCTGATCCACGACATCTGTGGGGACTGGCTGAAGCCGAAGCCGGTGCCGGTCCTCCTGGGGAGTTTGCTGAAGAGGAAGATGCTACCCAAGGCTGCCCTGCTGGTCACCACGCGGTCCTGGGCCCTGAGGGACCTCCGGCCCCTGATGGAGCAGCCCATCTACATAAGGGTGGAGGGGTTCCTGGAGGAGGACAGGAGGGCCTATTTCCTGAGACACTTTGGAGAGGAGGACCAAGCCACGCGTGCCTTTGAGCTGATGAGAAGCAACGCGGCCCTGTTCCAGCTGGGCTCGGCGCCCGCGGTGTGCTGGATGGTGTGCATGAGTCTGAAGCTGCAGATGGAGAACGGGGAGGACCCGGCCCCCACCTGCCACACCCGCACGGGGCTGTTCCTGCACTTTCTCTGCAGCCGCTTCCCGAAGGGTGCCGAGCTCGGGCGCACGCTGCGGGCGCTGAGCCTCCTGGCTGCGCAGGGCCTGTGGGCGCAGATGTCCGTGTTCCACGCAGAGGACCTGGAGAGCCTCGGGGTGCAGGAGTCCGACCTCCGCCCGTTCCTGGACAGAGGCATCCTCCGCCAGGATGGAGACTCCAAAGACTGCTACTCATTCCTGCACCTCAGCTTCCAGCAGTTTTTCACTGCGCTGTTCTACGCCCTGGAGAAGGAGGAGGAGGAGGACGGCCACGCCTGGGACATTGGGGATGTGCAGAAGTTGCTTTCTGGAGAAGAACGACTCCAGAACCCCGACCTGATCCAAGCAGGACACTTCTTATTCGGCCTCGCCAACGAGCAGAGAGCCGCAGAGTTGGAGACCACTTTTGGCTGCGTGATGTCACGGGAGATTAAACAGGAATTGCTGCGGTGCAAAGCAAACCTTCACGTAAAGAAGCCGTCATCGATGGCAGGCCTGAAGGAGCTCTTGTGCTGCCTGTATGAGTCTCAGGACGATGAGCTGGCAAAGGTGGTGATGGCCCCGTTCAAGGAAATTTCTATTCACTTGACAAATACGTCTGAAATGATGCAGTGTTATTTCAGCCTGAAGCACTGTCCAGACTTGGAGAAACTCTCACTGCAGGTAGCAAAGGGGGTGTTCCTGGAGAATGACGTGGACTTCGACCTGGGCTTTGAGTTAGAGAGGTAAGAACAGTTTTTCCATCCCATGCTCCACCAGGAAGAGGCCAGTGTCTCCCGTGCCTTGTGGCCGAGGGTCAGAATTTCCCTCTGGCTGGACTTTGTTCCTGCTTCATGTTCAATGCAGAGATACCATTTGGCAATTAGGAATTGGGGTTTTTAAAAAAAATTGAGACCATTTTGCTGTCTTATTTTTTGAGATGGAGCCTTGCTCTGTCACCCAGACTAGAGTTCGGTGGAGTGATCTTGGCTCACTGCAGCCTCTGCCTCACCACACCTGGCTAACTTTTGTATTTCTTAGTAGAGACGGGGGTGTTACCATCTTGGCCAGGCTGGTCTCAAACTCCTGACCTCATCCATCTGCCTCCTAGAGTACTGGGATTACAAGCGTGAGCCACTGTGCCCGGCCTATCTTTTTATTTATTTATTTATTTTTTGGAGATAGTGTCTTGCTCTGTTGCCGGGGCTGGAGTGAGCATGGAGCTCACTGCAGCCTCAGTCTCTCAGATTTTCCTGCCTCAGCCTCCCGAGTAGTTGGGACTACAGGCGTGCACTACCATGCCCAGTTATTTTTTTGCAGAGATGCGGTCTTTGTTTCTTGCGTAGGCTGGTCTTAAACTCATGGGCTCAAGCGATCTTCCCACTTTGGCCTACCAAAGTGGATTACAGGCATGAGCCACCTCACCCAGCCTTATCTGTTATTTTATGTTTTTGTAAAACTTAAGATCTCTACACCTAACAAAGATGTGATATTGTTTACTATAGACACTGTACTTGTGTAGTATTAGGAAGGTGCAAAAGTAATTGTGATTTTTGCTATTGAAATGTGGTTTGTAGCTGGTTGCGGTGGCTCAGGCCTGTAATCCCAGCACTTTGGGAGGCAGAGGCAGGCGGATCACCTGAGGTCAGGAGTTCAAGACCAGCCTGGCCAACATGGTGTAACCCCGTCTCTACTACAAATACAAAAACGTTAGCTGGGCGTGATGGTTACTTGGAAGGCTGAGTCAGGAGAATTGCTTGAACCCAGGAGGCAGAGGTTGCAGTGAGCCAAGATTGTGCCACTGCACTCCAGCCTGGGTGACAGGGCAAGACCTTGTCTCAAAAAAAAGAAAAAAAAAATGTGGTTTGCAGACACCCATCCCACCATGCGGTGACTGGCCACACGAGATGAACGTGTGTTCTCTTGCAGTTACACTTACTTCACCCTTCCGAACTGGGCACGGCAGGATCTCCACTCTCTTGACATCTGGAAGGATTTCTGCTCTCTCGTCAGCTCAAACAGCAATCTGAAGTTTCTGGAAGTGAGACAAAGCTTCCTGAGCGAGTCATCCGTGCGGGTTCTTTGTGACCACATAGCCCGTAACACCTGTCATCTGCAGAAAGCAGAGTAAGGAGAAGCTCCTCTTGCAAGGAAGATCCTGAACCATGGCTAGGCTTCTTGCACTTTACAAAAAAGTATAGAAATGTGTTGTTTCATCTCCATGTATTTGGGGATTTTT